GGGGCGTGGGGTGGGGGGGGGGGGGGCGTGCCTCGCACGTGCCCTCTCCCGGGCTCTCTGTCCTCACTTGGTACCCACTACAGGGCAGTTTTTTAACACATGGGATGTTAAAATATTGGGTTTTAGTACATGGCTAGTCTATGAGTAAATCTATGCATGACCTCATCGTTGTTTTTAGTACTAATTCCTTGCATTTTAAATACATGATCCGCACGCGGAGCATGTATTAAAAACGGCACTGTACGGTGGAAGAAGGCAGATCAGGAATCCAGGGTCTGGGAGCCGGTGGACCACCAGCTGAGGCTTGGCCACGGAGATCACCGCCGCCCTCATCAGACGAGGAATCCTCCAGGGCGTGAAGCCGCATGGGCACACTCCTCAACAAACGCCCCCACCGTACTAATGATCCAAGTCCAAGTCCGATGGGCAGCAAGTGCAAGGTCGCGACGAGAAGAAGCGAGTCTGGCGCAGCATCACATAGCGACCTTACGCAGTGGCTTTGCGCGGGCCGCCGTCGTGGCACACCTCGTGGAAAAGAGGGCACTTGCGCGCGACCTTGCGCGAGAAGGTTACGCGCCAATGTCGGCGCGATCGACTCAGTTTTCTTCCGTCGCTCATGTGGCTGCCTACCGGCGCCCCAGACAGCGCAGAGCAAGAGCAATGGGGCCTTCAATGAAGGAGGACTACCTGCGCAAACGCACTCCTTCGGATCTCCGCGCGAAGGATTCGATCTGCGCTGACCCCCCCTCCCTGGCGCGCGGAGCGCGCCACGAGCTGCGCAGGAGGTGCCGCTGGAGGTTCCCAGCGCCGATCCAGACAATCCGCGCGGAGCTCCGAAAGTTTGTGTTTCCACGTTTTCTGTGAGTCAGGCTGGCCAGGGCAAAAGACCACGGGCGTGCCTGCTCCGTGCCCTGGCCCTCTGGATCACGGGCTCCTGGGCCCAGCCAGGGTCGGGTGGGGCCGCTGGGGATGGCGCGAGCCGTCGTCGTCGTCATGACGATGACGATGACGATGACGATGACGATGACGATGACGATGACGATGACGATGACGATGACGGTGACGATGACGAGGGTGGGGCGGCTGGCTGAGCAACTGAAGTCTAAGAGCCACCGTTCTGTCAGCAAGAGCACACACCGGACACTTTAGCGGTCGCAGCTGGGCCGAAAAGGCGGGACGAGAAAGGAGAGAAAGAGCCCAAAAGGGGGGGCGAGAAAGGTCGCAATCGAGTCGAAGGAAAGCCCCTTCTCTTTGATTCCTGCTCCGCCCGGGGGGTCCCAGAGGGGGCGGGGTGGGGTCCTGGAGGGAAGCCCCCCACCTCTCTGACTTCCCTTCCACAAGAGACCAGAGACCGAGAGTTGGCATTGACATTTAGTGTGGTTTGGGAGCCAAGCTGAGCCGCCCTCGAAGCCATTTGGGCCGTCCTGGAAGCCCGGGGGGCCAGTATTAGAACCCAGAACCGTTATGAAGGACATTGTCGACACAGTCTATCTGATCTTGAAATATCTTCATTTCGATGTTAAGAGCGTCGAAGGCGGCCCAAGAGGCCGCCAGTATCGTCTCCAGACGGCCCCCGAAGCTCCTAAGAGGGGCCCAAGAAATATCCAAGACGGCCCCAAGAAGGGCCCCCAAAACGCGTTACCATCAGAACGCTGGAAACATCCCCCCCGCGATAGACCCAAGACCCCCCTGAGGCCTCCAAGACACACCAGCCCGCGCGAGGCCTCAAAGAGCCTTCACGGGCCCCCCCCCCCCCCCCCACAAGGCTCCCAAGAGGCCCCTCGACAACATCAAGAGGTCCCCCAGGAGGCCCCGAAAAGTATCCAAGAGGATTCTAGCACACGACCAAATCAAGGCAGCGGGATAAAACGAACGCTTCTAGACCTGCTTGGCACGGGGGCGGAAACCCTAAATTAATGCAGAATGGCGCGACATCGCTGGCTTCTCCGTTCTTCCTTCTGTCGCGTCCTTTCTTCACCTCGCCCTTGTCGCATCCTAGGGGGATATTGGGGCCTGTTGGGCCATCTTGAGTTTAGCCGTCTTGAAGCCCTTCAAGAGAGATTTCAAACTTATGTAATAAACATCTTTTCAAATATGCGATCCGCCAGCCCCCGGGTGGGGCCATGAGGCTGCGTGGCGGACGTGTCCTGCATCCTGCACCACTACCAGTTGTCATTATCCACCGCTCCACGTTTATATTTATAGCTTCTGCTTCCTGCTGTCAGTTATTACTGTCCGCGCGAGGAGGGTACGCGAGGCGTGGGCGGAGGGCGGGGGGGGGGCAGGGGGGGGTCGGGGTAGGGGGGCGAAAACCACCTTGCTATCACGCCCGAGTCGCGTGGCGTATATATATATATATATATATATATATATATATATATATATGAGACTCACGCCCCCGATGCAGCAACACCTGCTAAATTACACCAGATTCACGTTCCGGAGGCCAGAATCCATCGCACATTGCGCCGCATCGCGCCCGATTCGCGATCCCGAAACCAGAATCACTTGTAAATTGCGCCCCAAAGCAAGAATCTGTTGTAAATTCTGATCGTGATGCCGGATTCGCGCTTCCAGGGCTATAACCCCTGATGAATTACACAAGATTCGCACTCGCCAGAATCCGTCGTCAAGTAAACAAGTGTCTCGCTCCCGAGGCCCGAACCTTTGTAACATTACATCCAATTCGCGCCCCCGAAACCACAGTCCTGGCAAGTTGCACCAGATTCGCGACCCCGAAGCGACGATCCCTTGCAACTTGCACCAGGCTGGCGCCCCCGAGGCCACAATGCCTAGCACATGACGTCACGATTTCCAGCCGTCTTCGCGTGAGGTTCCGGAATTGCTCGACTGCGCGTGGGCATCCCAACGTAGTTTTAAGTCGGGCCTGTCCCCCTACAGGGGGATTTTCCAGGAAAAATTGAAAATATTCAAAACATATTCAAACATGAAGAACAAAATACTCAAAACATCGTTCCGAATTTATTCTTGGACTATCTTTGAATATTCCTCCTGTAGAGGGACACGCCCGACTTCAGCGTAGCTCTGCCAAGTCCCATTCTGAGAGGGAGGGCGGGGGGCAACGGCAGAGGGCGAAGCCCTCACGGATATGGGAGATCGACCACCTGTTCAAGATCGTTAAAGGCTTAACGACTTCCGCCGTCCTTCGACTCGCGCTGGAGCGGCTGCGAGTTGCTCCAACTTTCTCTGGAGATATCTGGATTTACCTGGATTTACCCGGATGTATCTCGATGTGCCTGGATTTGCCTGGATTCATCTCGATTTATCTGCATTTACCTGGATTTATCTGGCTCGATCCCCACAAGTCGATTGGCGAAAAGTCGACAAGCCCTTAGGGGCAAGAACGTCCCCAGCGGAACTGGCGCCCTCGGCAGTCTCGAGGGCGCCCTCGGACCCGTTTGGACCGTCCGCTGTCCCGATGTCGTGCTCTCCCTCCTTGGACCGCCCGCCTGCCACGAAAACGTGCCTTCCCCGTTTGGATCGCCCGCTGTCCGGAAACTGCGTTTTCCAAATTTGGACAGTCCATTCGTGCCCGGAGCCGCAAACAACTGTGCTTTTCCTTTGGTTTTGGACAGATTTGGGCGTTTTAACCTTTTCGGTTCCCCGACGCCCCTAAACAGCTCAAGAGGCCTCCAAGATCGCCCCAAGAGGGCCCAAGAGGCCCCCAAGAGGGCCCTAAGACGGCCCAAGACGGCTCCAAGACGGCCCCAGAGGCCTCCAGGACGGCCCAAGAGGGCCCCAAGAACGCCCCCAACACGGTCCAAGAGAGTGTAAAGAAACCGTGTGTGTTCC